GTGTGTGTGTGTGTGTGTGGATGGAGCAGAGTTGTTTCCGACCACGACTCAGATACTGTACCCTAAAAAAGCGGGCCTCTGCAATTTGTGCCACGGTTGTTGAAGATATCAGGGGGAATTACAAGGCGCGGAGGGCAACATCCCCTGACATACAGAACCATCAGCATTCTCCAAACTTGACATGAAGCTGAATGAGAAAAAATGTCATGAACGACGCGTGGAGTGATGCTGCCGTGACATTTCTATGAGCTTATAGTCTATCCAGTTGAATCCACCACCAAAACGTAACCTGATCACCAGTTGACAAGAATCTGGAAGATTTTTCCGTGACCGTGTTCACACTGAAAACGACAGCAGCACTTTAATAAGTAACATACACCTGCCGATTTTAAAGAAAACGTCTAATCAAAAGCTGAACCCAATTGTGTGTTGATTTTTCTGAAACTCGACTCAAACAGCAAAAGCGTTGAGTTGAGCAAAAGACAGAATGTGACATGTACTGAATATGCAACCAAAAAAAGTGTAGATTTTTTTAGCTTTGTATGGATTTTTGGAGTCTGAGGAGAGCTGTATTGATGTTTTTCAGTAAATAGAAATATATTTTATTGTCCCAAATGGTGGAAACTTCTGAGCAACAGCAACAAAGTTGAATTTGTTGTAGTCATAAATATTGACTATAAAAATATGTAGAAGCAGAATGAGAAATAAAAATCCGAAATTTCAACACAAATATCAGGTAGCTCTAAAAAATCAAATGCCAAGAAAGTAGCAGTAGGATCTTTTATATTATTCATTTACTGTTTACAAGAGTGTTGCCAACAATGTGAACAATTTTGGCAACAAAAAAAGTGCAACAGTTATATACATAAACATAAAAACTGTGAAACACACAATATGAAATGTAAACTTTTCTCTTTTTTCCCATTGTAAATAATGCGTTGGCTTACTACGTTCCTGCAGGAAACGTGAGTCTGCAGAAATTGTGTTCCTCCAAACTAACGTTTCACTTTTCTCTGTTTTATCTTGAGTCAGACTTCTTTGTATCCTCGCACAATATCTAACAACAGGATAGTTCAGAACCTTCCGGATAAAATGAGTCAGTGTTCATTGTTCATTTCTCAGGAAGTTCTTTTACATTACCATAACAGTGTTCTCACCCGACGGACCATGAACCTGAGAAACCTGCCCTCTCTTCATAGAGAGTTGAATCTTCCTCCAACCATTTCACAGAATTTATTTCATTTTTTTTTCCTGTCACGCCAGTACAGTTTGTTAACACGTGTGCACACTTTTGATAAAAGCCTCTCACTAACCACTAATCAGACTCATTGGTATTTGGACAAACTATCCAAATACCATATCCAAAATGGAAAATAAAATGACTGGAAACTGTTTTGGTTAGTTATATTTTTCAATGCACATTTTTTTTTTTTGTAGTTTTTTATTGGCATGACCTAGTGTTTTAATTGTTCATCCTTGTTTCCTGCAGGGTAGCCTTTGTCTGGTGCGCTACCATGTGCAATAATGTGTAAGTAACGATTGTTATCTGTCATGTTTTAATAGCTCCTCACTTACAGAAGAAACTTTCAATCCAGCTTTCCAGAAGAAAGGTGGATTTAAAGAGTCCAGTTTCCAATCCAGCGTTGAAAGCTGGATTCTTTCAGCGCCAGAACAACAGAAAAAACAGTATTACTTGAGTATGTCTTGAGTCTTTGGCATTTGCAAAAGGTTGGATGGTAAATATATTTGCTTGAGCTTTTGCCAATCTGATTCATAAAGATCACAGGACAATGGGAAATGTTCTCCAGTGCCTTACCAAACAAAATAACAAGGTCCCAGGGTGTTGCATCTCTGAGGTCAATGAAAAGTTTGAATTAAGAAATATAGCGAGGGAGATGGGAGTAGGCTAGCTATGCTAGCTTGACTATGAGAATCTTACCATGTAGATGTGCAGTGGAATTTGGTACGGTTCGGTTAAGTGATGTGCGTTTCTGCACATTTATTGACCGTATTCATGGCAGGTTTGACAAGTAGATAAAGAGAACAAAAGTTCATATGAGTGAACTAAAAACCTCTGAAGTGGTGTCTGACAAAACTCATGATACAAACTTTTGTTTCTGAAGTTCTCCTCAAATGCTAACAGCCCTTGACACGGCTTCTAGAAAGGTAATTAACCTTGCAGTAAGCAGATAGGCTCATCGGGAGGCCATTTATCTTGCTCCCCAACAACACCCAGGTTATCTCAGTGCCTGGCCGCATTATCACACTCGTTTCTGAAAGGCTGGATATGCTGTAGGAGCCGAGAAGGTGGCTACGCAATAGCATCAAACTGAGGCTAAGCTAAACAGCTTTGCTTTTGTCACTGTATCTGAGAGTTACATAACTGGAATTTTAGTGTTCTTTTTTACTTGGGGGACATCTATCCATTATGTCTCTTTTACTTAAAGATACCCACACATCCCTGTCTGGAGCTCAATGGAAGTATAACAATAGCAACAACTACTATTCCAACACCAACTTGTTAGTGCAGGAACATTTTTCTTACAAGCAAACTGTGGCAGTTGTCTGCATGCAATGTTGCGAGTGTGTCTGTGTGAGTATTTGACCCTCATCCAGCAGAGCATTCATGGAGTCAGGCACTGATGTTGGACAAGAAGGATGAAAATACATACCCGTTCATCAATTCATTGTTGAAATCCCCATTTTGTTTCAGGGACTTCATCCTTTAGTGAAGCAAATTATATAAGCACACATCATTTCCTTGAATGATTATCTGTCAGATTTTCCTCTGACAAATAATAAAAACATGACCTTTAAAAATTGACTATTACATCACACCCCCCAAAAAAATGAATACAGAAATGCAGCCTTAATGAAAAGTATGCTTAATGTCTAATTAAAGGTTGTCGATTTTCAAAGGATGATTTATTGAATATGGCAGCAACAATAACACAAATAATAACATGTTGTGCCCTATGCACAGAAAAAAAGATGTCAGATTCCTGAAACTGGAAGTGAGGCTAGAGGTATGACCAACTTTCTGACTGATCTGACTAAAAATGATCAGACTCCTAAATTCACACTCAGTCCATTGAGATCAATTCCCCAAGGATTGATCTCAATGGATTATACACTTTACACATCCCATCCTGATGCATTGCGGCACAACTTTGCTCCCACTAGACACGCACTATTGAAACCAACAAAGAAAATCAAATCACCAAAAAATACAGAAAAAAGACAGTCTTTGAATGCGTGGCAGAAAATGAACTGTTTCATTTCGTCTCGTCGGGAACTGCACAACAAGTGTTTTAATAACAGCATTTATTGTAAAGTAGGAAACTGTCAGGACAACTTCTGAACGCTGCATCTAAAATGCAACGTTCACCGAGAGCTCTTTTTTATTCCCTCTCTTTCTCAAAAAAGAAAAAAGACGTCAGTGGGTGTTAGTTCAGCGTCATGCCCAGGTATGCTGCTCACACAGAGGCACCAAGGTAAATATAGCATCTATCTGATTAATGCACTGAATTATTTGCTCTCTGGAGCACATAAATAGAAATCAATTCAACTCCATATAACTACTCATCCAACTAAACAACTCAGAACCAGTCTTTTTTTAATTGTTCCACAATAACTCGTCTTGATGGGAGTTTTGGCAGAAGATCGTGTCGTCGCATAACGATTACGAAAGAAAAGTTTCTGCATTTTCCCCCCATAAGCAGCAGCTCCAGTTTACTCATCCTAGCGACACGCTGACCAAAACTGATTGGATTTTCCTCCTCATGCTTGGATTTAGGAGGCTGTTAGAGAGGGAAGCATCTGCAACCAAAGCAGCATCAGGCCAGAACAGCTTCAGCAGGATGAAGAACGGGATGCTCCGTGTCCAGATGTCCAGCATCGTCCGGTGGCTGGACTGCAGTGATTCAAATGCATGTGTTTTCAGTGTTTGACAGAAATATGTATTCTGCTTCAGGAAACGTTGGTTGGCACAGATGACTAACAGGAACTCACCAGAATAGTTTAAGATCCCAGTTTATAGCTTTTCTCTATGAAGCACTCATTCATTTCCGCCACAGTTGTTTTTTTTTTTTTTTTTTTTTACCACAAAACGCTATGTATCTATTAAAGGGACAGTATTAAGTTGAATCAAAATCTTGGAGATGAACGTCACAAGTATCAAAAACATACCTGGAGTGTCTCTGTGATTCTTCTCTGCGTGTTTGGGAAATCCTTTAATCTCTTCTAATCAAGTTCCCACCTCACACAGCAGCCATCAGCTTCCTGCCACCTGCTGAGCTCACTATGCAAACTGCTCCTCAGCAGGCAAAAGGTGTTTCTAAAGGGTTAACAGAGGAGCGACGCTGTCGTGACTTCCTGAGGGCGGAGTTTCGGAAAAGTGCCAGAGGATCTTAAAGAGACACAGGTCCAATTTCAAGGCGATAAATAACGAAATCTTTTAGGTCATATTTTATATTTATAGCATTTTTTTTTATTAATAACTGAAGGTAATAGTTTATTGTTTGTGTTATAAAATGGTGCAGTGTGTGTGTGTGTGTGGAAAATACATAATGCAGCCCCTTTAACTTAGGGCCAGGTTATGAAAAAAAAAAAAAGTCTTGAGTCAAGAACTGGTCATTGTTAAATGTCACAGATGGTAGCCTACAACTCAACCTACCAATGGCTGTTCAGCTAATTCTGCTGACCTTAAGCCCAAAGAAGAAATAAATAAAAAGTAGAACCAGAAAAGCAAATTCTTTTACTATTATTATTATTATTATTATTATTATTATTATTATTATTATTATTATTATTATTATTATTATCATCTTGGTCCATAGATTTTCAGGGAAAGTTACAGGAAACTTCTTGCCAACATCCGCACCGTTTCTCTCCTCCTCGAGCTTTGCAACCCGAATCATCTCGCGACTTTTGTCGGCGGGTGTTAAAGTGCATTAAAGGGATGCGGAGCTGCTGATACTGATCTCAGTCTGTCCGCCACAAACTACAGCTCCCTGCCTCCCTCTCTCCTCTCCTCTCCCTCCCGTCGCCACTCACGCTTCCCCCGCAGCCTCTCTCTGTTTTCTTGGACTGCAGCAGAAAAATCCGCTGCATCGCACAGGAACAGAGAGCAGAGATCCCGGCTGCGATGTCTGCTCCCTCCGCATCCGCGTGAGTGAGACGCGAACCGGGGGACGGAGCCGTCGGACTCGTCGGGCTCGCTGCGATGCTTTCTGGCTCCCGCGGAATTGGTAAGTAAAAACGCTTCAGCTTTTTAAAAAAATTTTTATAATCATTATTAATATTATTAATATCCGCATATCCGTTTTCTCTCCCCTCCAAGCTGTATTTTTTGTTCCATAAACACATCCACCTGGATTTAGCCTCTCCTAATTTGAAGCTAACTTCTCATTTGAACGCGGCTGTAAGAATTAGGAGGATAGTGGTTTGTGGTGATTGACGGGAAAGTTGGTTTGAACTTTTCTCGCGCTTTCGTGTTTTTTGTTTGTTTGTTTTTTCCCCACACACTCAGTGTTTTTTTTTTTTTAGGACGTGCCACGCATTTCATCTGTCGGTTATCGAACCCGTCAAAGTTTCCACGAATAATGCTGCTCAATGGGATGGGGGGAGGAGGAGAAAAGGGGGGTTTCGCCGAACCGGTCCACGCACGAGCTTCTCCGTGTCCGGTAACCACCGCAGGACATCAGCTCCGTGTGGTCGTGGTGCGGCGTCCTCGGCGGATTGATTCCCCGGGGCAGCGGGACAGCGACACCCGGAAACTAATTTGTGGGTCGCGCGCGACTCCCGCCGCGGTGATTGATGCTCCCTCGTGGAAGTGACGCGTTCCGCTCGCGCACCGTGGCGCCGCTCCGCGAAGCCCCGCAGTGGAAACGCTGGAAGTGGAACAAAAGAGGCTGGGTGGGAGTGGGGGAGGGGGAGGGAGGAAAGTGACAGAAGACTCCACCAAACTTCTCCGTCAGCTGACCAGGTGTGTGTTTCCCGGCAGGTTCTTGTGGCTGTTCGCCGTTTGAACAGGTGTTTGTCCAGGAATGAGTTTTATGTTTGCTCATGTGAATCAATAAATTAGGATATACGTCCTGATCAGACTTGTCAGACTAATATAACCTTTTAGCAGGTATTAAGCGTACTACAAAATATAAGTATGTTAAGACATCTAATTCATCTCTATAATGTCTTTCACTTGGTGATGGAACTGCTAGCAAGGGACTTTTCAGTCATATTCTAATTTATGGAATGAGTCTGTATTTGCTGAGTATATTTGCTTTGATATAGCAAATATTGAAGACGCAAAAAAAATGTGGGGTCTGGTTGGGGCATTTGGTGAGCAGAGTGACCGTCGATGTCACCGGATTCAATACCATGTGTCTTAAAGCCGAGACGCTGATGTTTGGATATGTAAAATATATATATATATTATCTCTGCATATACATCTATCAACAGTTTGGTTTCTGTCGGTTCTGTAGAGATGCAAGCGAGAACAAAACAAATTTCTCCTTTATATTGACTAATAATTTAATTTGACTTATTTGTCGCTGTAGGAGCCATGGTTTAAAATGCAACAAACTTTGGCTCCTGTGTGCATTATTAAATATTTCATCGTATTTGACGATTGATCTGAATATTAGACCAGGTGGAAAATGTAGAAAAGCGGGTGATTGCATTCTTTTTCCCAGTCTGTCAGCCTGACGTCACAAGTAGCCACATTTCCCACACAGAAAAGTGAAATCACCAAACTGGCGATTAGCTACTTAAACCATTTGAAACACTACGTGTGACTCCCACTTTACAATTATGCATGTTGGTCTGAAATCACTACTGTTGTTCTGGTTTTGCCTTTTGAATGAATGGATGTGCAATTGAAGCAACATAGTTGTGTGTTACTTTTATCTGCATTCATCCTCACAACAGTAAAAATATCATAGTTCACTTGAAAGAAGGCAAAAGTAACTTGCATGTTACTTTTCAGCTAGACATAGGATTTTGTTTTAAGGCAATAATTATAAAATATTACAAGGCAGATTGTTTTCCAGGTTTTCTAACTTAACACCTTCTCGGGTGTTAATGTCCCGAGAAGGTTAATTTTGTTTCAATGTATCAGGCCCAGGAAGAGGTTTTGGTTATAAAATAAGTTTTCTTCTATTCTTTTTATCTCTAGGAGAAAAAAAAGAAAATCTCGATCTTCTAAACCATGATTAAACGAAACTATTATTTTAACTCGGAGCATCAGAAGTACATGCAAAACCTGTGACGTTTGAGTCAAGAAAAAAAAAATAAACTGAAGTGAAACATTCACACAGAAAGCCCAGAGCAGCTGGACAATCTCCTGCAGTGGGTAAACCCTCACAGCCATTATGACACACACGCAATCAAGCAAGTCGCTGTGTGTGTTTGCGTGTGTGTGTGTCCGCATAAACATGGGAGATCCCACACTAAGCACTGGCTTGTTTAGCGGCTCCCTCTGCGTCAGAGCAGCTGTTAATATATGAAATCGTGGGCTGCTGCCCTTCATTTGTACTCAGTGGATCTCTGGAAGGCATGAGGCCCGTGGTTAACGTAGTGTGCATTCATCGCTTTTCATCTAAACCCGCCCGCCGCTGGCACTCTGCTTCTCTTAAGGATGGTTGGGTTTCCAACACGATAACCGCACAGGGTGCTTCGAAACCTGACGAAGCTCAGCTCACGTTGTTTAGAGTTTTGATCTCGTCGAAGGAATCAACCTGCGTTCGCATCAAATGTCCCGAGGTGTTAATAAGTAGGCGTCTCTCCACCCATGTGTGATGTCTTTCGTTTCTGTTCTTTCGTGTTGTTTGAATGTGCTGTACTGAAAAAAATGTTGTTGCAGTTTTTTTAGTTTTTTTTTTATCCACTGTATTTTACAGTGCTTGAAGAAGATTGACCAAATTGTATGAGAATAGTCAAATTAATGAATAATGAAAAAAATGCAAATGCCTGCCACATGTTCACAAAGCTGGATTCGACATGTACATTTTTCAAACGTCTCTTCGTACGCTTCTTTTCAAAATTATCTTCACCTGTTAATGTCAAGAAAGTGAGAATTATGGCTCTTCTCTATTTCACTCTTTGAATCGAATGTAAGGATTTGCTCTTACAGACAGTCGTAAACTGGGAGTCCATCTGGGAGGACCTGACGCGAGAAAGCCTGCAGGTCTCTGTACATGCAACTGCACTTACAGATTTTCATCTAGTGCAGCCCAAGCATATGGAGAATTTCATCTGCGCTAAAGTTACATATTTAACATCACTAGTTTCTTTTGGTTGAGACCGTTTGTTTGCTTAAACCAGAAAAAAGGAAGAATGTAAAACAGATTTAAGGAGAATAAAAGATTTATCGGTTGATCTTTGCTCAATAATTGGCATCAGAAACACAGAAATATACTAATATCAGAAATGTTGGTGCAGCTTCAGAGAATGGATTGCTGTTATGAGACTACTGAACCAAGCCTGGTGGTGGCAGTGTCATGGTGTGGACATATTCTATAAATGAGAATATCATTGGAAAGCCAATTTATTGCATGATCTTTATCACTAAGTGAAATCCATTATCTAGACAAACTACACACAGATTGATGTCTGAAAGCCTTTATTTCTGTTCATTATGATAATTTTCCACTTACAGTCAATGGAAAATTTAAAATAAGTATATTACATAAGACCAGTAAAACAAAAATTTAATTTTTATAACAGAAATGTGCTTTTACTGAAAAGTTTTATACCGGCTTTCTGGTTGTGATTTTCTAAAGTTTAGACTCTGACAAATGAGACTCATCGGTGTGTAATTGATTGATTATGACTATTATTGAACGTGGCTGGAGGCAGAATGACTTTTTTGAAATGTTCAACTTTATCTTCAACTATCACAATTAGGTATTCTTTTGGGCCCACTGACTTCAAAACAAGAGTATGCAACTTTTATAAGAAATAATATTTTTCATGTATTTGTTTAAATTATGACTATGTTGTGACGGTAAACAGTCTGTGAAAGAACGGAGCTACTTCCCTGGCTTTGAATTTACAGAAGTACATCGCTTAGTCAGAAACAACCAATCAGAGCCAGGAGGAGGGTCTTAACGCTGACAAGCTACAGCAAGTTCTGCACAGTGGAGCGTGCCAAGAATGCTAAGGGCAGTTAGCAGGACGGCTAAAAAAATAGGTTTCCTGGATCGGTAATTTGTTCACTTGCTGTGTACACAAAGTTGACTGACAGTGCTAAGACCCTCCTCCTGGCTCTGATAGGCTGTTTTTGACCTGGAGTATTGCATTTCTTAATTAAGATGGGAGGAAGAGAAGTTAGATTTATTTATTTATTTATTTTTCCACAGATCATCTCTCATATCATACTGTCATGACATAGAGGCAGTTTGAACAAGTTGGTAAAAAAAAATATTTTAGCAAAAGTTACATACTGTAGTTTTAAGTGCTGAATAATTGGCAATTAAGCTTTTTAAGCACAAAATTGATTTTTACATATGACCATAAAACATATATACTCATGGGCCAAAGTAAAAGAAAAAAAGTGGATTCACAAATCAAACACTGGCTGCTCGATAATCCAGATCTCAGAATGACGAACCCAAACCGATGCGTCTCCCGTCCTGGAACATGTACCAGGGAACTCTGTGAGTGTACAAATGGCTGCATCTGCTGCATTTCTCTGTGTTATGGAAGTGATTTATGAAGGCATATCCACATAGTGTCAGCAGGCCACGACTGAACAACTACTGGAAAATCGTTTCTCCGCAGCGCAGAGACTGCTGATTCAACATAGTTCTGCTGATTGCTAAAATCCTATCAGAAGAGGGTTATTATAAGGTTAGCATTCGCTTATAATAACCTCAATCACAACAACACGGTGGGAATTGCCATCAAAGTGAAGTGGCCATAAACAATATTAGCTTGACTTTTTATGAGAAAAGACCAAAGAGTTGGGACGGAATAGGGTCGCTTCTCATGGGAAAGTTGGTATACAAAAAAAAAGAACAAATAAATAAAAATAAATAAATAGATTGGACACTTGGTCTGCACTTGCAGCTGTATCTCAAAATGCAGTGAAAGACTTGAAAATGTCATCATTAGCAGGCATTTCCATAAGAAGAAGAACGTCTAGCCCATCGTGAATAGTGAAATGTCAAGAGAAGAGGCGAATCTTTCATACTCTGAGCCTCTATCAAAACTCACACTTTGAAACTCTCGGCGCAGTTGGATAAGAAC